CTGGGAGTTGAAGTCCACAAGTCTTAAAGTTGCCAAGGTTGGACACCGCTGATCTAGCCCTTTCTACAACAACAACAAAATCTATCTAATCAGCAAAACCCAACATTTCAATCCCCCCACCTCCATCTCAACCCCAAAGTCCAGAAGCTCTTTCCAAGTGGAAACAAAGCTAGCTGCATTTTTGTTTCTTTAATTAAAGCTAAAAGTGAGCTCCATCTTCTGAATAGGCCATCTTTCTACAGAAAAAAACACATGCATGAATCCGAAAACATGTCCAAAGAGCCATCTGTTATTTTTAAGGTTTGTTAGCATCATAGTGCTTATATTGCTGCATTTGACTGCTTAAAGACATAATTGGATGCAGAGCACGACAAGAGGAAATAAAAAGTTTAGAGTTCAGCTTTCACTGAAAAGGATGCCCACTTTAATTGCTCAGGTTTATGCGATCGGCTGTCAGAGTCCTAAAGCTACCCATTCACACGTTTATGGCTTCACTAGTGGTTCGAGAGTACCAATCCATGTGTGCATTTGGCGGAGGCAGCAGTGAAGAGGTTGAGTAACTGGCATGTCTAAATGTTCAGGATGGTATTTATCAAATCATGGGAGCCGAAGGCACCAACACAACACCTGCACTTTTTTGTCAGGGTGTCCAGGGACTTGAGAAACATGACCTGCTTGAGATCCAACCACAGCCAAGGATCTGAGGACAATCTCTTCTAGCTGCCTTGGAAATTATCATGGGATAATTTATTATGATGGGATGACAGCGGCCAGACTATCTTCTAGCTTGTCCGTAACTCAGAAGGGTTAAAATAAGAACAAATGGCCTCTCTATCTATTCTTTCATTTCAAGGTTGCCGAATGAGCTCTGCATTCTAATTCTAATCAGTGATCAGAAAGAAACCACCTGTCTGCTAGCAATCCTCCTTCCTTCCCAAATGGATGTTCTCCAGAACAGAGGTGAACCGAGATGGGTTGGTCTGGAATTGTTGGGAATGGTCACAGGTGAACAGA